TTTGTTTTGAGGGGGGGTGGGCCATGGCATGGTTATATCAAAATATTACACCTGGCCACATAATTCTCCTGAATACCACAGACAATCAGGTTATCAGGAAAGAATCAAAATAGCCAGCCAAAAGGATACTGAAGCAAGTAACTTGCAAATATGATTATGTATATATTATGCATACACTTTTGTAAACTGTATGCATATCATCATACATATCGCAAATCACAGGCTGTTGCTGTATCTATGATATTACTATAGCTATCATGAGATAGCAATATAAAAATCATAAGAATCAGTATTTGCTTAGGACTGTATACATTACTGCAGATGCTAAATCAATATTAGAAATCCAACTGAATATATAATAATTCAGATCAACAGACAGGTACTGCAAATGAGGATTCTGTTTCATGTGGATGGTATATGTGTGAATGTGTGTAAATATATCAGTTTCCAACACTTTTGATCAGTCTGTGGTTGTGCTAGCCTGCTATGCTAGCAAGAGAGAAGAATATACTGTTTCTGAATGCTATGATACTTGTTTATGTGTATACTGGCAAAATTATATTGCATTAATTTTAACTGTCAATAACATAGTATCATTCTGTTTAACTTGTTTTTCATTGTTGCTGTTACAGAAACAACTGCAAAAGGTTCAGACTAAATTGATGCTCTTTTTCATTTGGTCAGGAATCAAATGGGAATTTGAAATTGTCTGCCTCTGGTTTTGTTTTTCTAATGTTTTCATGAAGGTAATGGTATCACACAGGCATTCCTCTCCATCACCTTTCCCTAATACCGTGCAAATATCTAAATTCCTAGGAAAATCACAGAGATCCAAAGGGGACACTGATTCAAGGAATTTTCATTTGGAGAGGACGCCAAGATTTTTAAAATAAAGAGCTTTCATTTACCCACACCTTTTTCTTTACCTTTCATTCTCTATTTTCAAAAACTGTCACAGGTCATCAAACATGACTTTACATCTAAAATACTGAAAAAGACAAAATCTAAAGCTCATAAGCAGAAAAACATTCATGCATAAGTGTATGCACACATTTTATCATGCACACAAAGCATAAGTATCTAGCCCTGCATATTTATGGCCCAAGCTTTCTATCTTCAAATTTCCAAGTTGAATGAACACGTAAGATATAATCCTGGAAACAGGCTGTATCTGTGTGGTACAAATCACACCAACTAGACAAACTATTGAATAGTTCTCTATGCATACACATTGCCTGTCAAAATTGTAATATCTATATATCCATATCTCTTTGAGAAAAATGTTAAGTAGTTTAAAATCAGCTAATAATCTCACTGAACACGGACAAATCCTTTAAATAAAAGCGTTCTTAGAAGATTCAGAAAATGTAAGGAAAACGACAGCATGAAAACTTAAATGGGGATTAAAAAAGCTGTGCTTGCATGTCCATGTATGTCTGAATGTGTCTACTTGCCTGTTTATGAATTTGTAAAAGTGCATTACAAAGTGAGTGATATCTTGAGATGTAAAAGATATATATACATAAAAATCTCCCCTTAACCCATTGTCCTCACTGTCAACAGAAAGTTTTCCTTTACCAATTTGATCTTCAAGTTCTTTATATCAAATTTATTTCACTTTGTTAACTGTATATTTATGAATTACCAAGGAATTTTTGTGGTTGCACCCGTGACTCTGTGACTCGTCTCACAGTGCAGTACACATCACAACTTTCCAAGTCTGGATGTTGACCATGGCATTTCCAGACTCTTTATATATATATATATATATACCTATATATATAAACTGTTAAAAACACTCAGCTCTAGCTTGAAGTTTATAGAAAAATCTGGTATCTGAACACACCACACACAATTGTCACTACAGACATTATCCTAGTCAGATAAATCCTTTCCTTAAAACAATAATTTGAAGATAAACAATCTATTTCCAGAGGCTAAACTACCTCACATTAAGTAGNAGAGGTGAAGAGAGGGAGAGAGAGAAGAGAGCAGAGATGAGCAGAGAGAGAGAGAGAGAGAGAGAGAGAGAGAGAGCAGAGAGAGAGAGATTAGAGAGAGGAGAAAGAGCGAGCGAGCGAGCGAGCCAAAGAGAAGAGAGAGAAGAGAGAGAGAGAAGAGAGAGAGAGAGATAGAGAGAGAGAGAGAGAGGGAGAGGAGAGAAGAGAGAGAGAGAGAGGAGAGAAGCAGAGTGAGAGAGACAGACAGACAAGGTAATAATAGATATACACACAAACATAGATAGAGAAGAGACAAAGAACACTCAATTGATCCGTAGCCATTACAATAAAAGAAAGGGTTATTGTATTGTGAAAGATAATCCATTCTCATTCATACCTTTTCTACACAACACAAGACCACCAAATCGTTTGACGAAACTCCAACAAAACCTTCACGATAGCTCAATGTAAACCTAATCAACGACACGAAGACTACCCACGAAAGGCTCAAAAAGAACGAAAGAAAGAGAAAAACCCTGAAAAGACTAAACAAAGACCTAATGAATTATTCATCAAACACACGGAAAGACCCTAGCAAAACCCTGGTAAAGAAATAGAAAAAAAGAAAAAAAGGCCAACCCTCAAAAGACACAAAAAGACTCCCAGAAAAGCCTCTTAACAAACCAAAATCCCCCGAAGGAAGATTACAAAAATACACAAACAAATACTCCAAAGACCAAGCAAATACCTCAACGTGATAATACAAAGATCCCAAAATAAGACCCCCAGACCAGTTCCCAAAAGCAAGAATCTAAACCAAACCAACGAAAGACCCCAAACCAAGACCCCATAATTTGACCCCATAGTAAGACCCCCAAACCAAGACCCCAACCCCCATAGTCAGACCCCCGTAGTTAAATTCCCAAACCAAGACCCCAAATTCAAGACCCCCCCAAAACCCCAAACCAAGACCCCAAAGTAAACCCCAAACCAAGACCCCAATAAGACCCCAAACCAAAACCCAAAACCAAGACCCCAAAGTAAGACCCCAAACCAAGACCCCAAAGTTAAGACCCCAAAATAAGACCCCAAAGTAAGACCCCCAAACCAAGACCCCAAACCAAGAACCCTTACCAAGACCCCAAACCAAGACCCCCAAAATAAGACCCCAAAACCAAAAAACCCCAAAACCCCCAACCAAGACCCCCAAAAATAAGACCCCAAATTCCGACCCAAACCAAGACCCCCAAACCCCAAGACCCCCAAACCAAGACCCCCAAACCAAGACCCCAAGATAATAACTCTCTCTCCCAGGACGCCGAGCCGGGGAACCCCCTACGCGGCACCACCTTGTTCATTATCCACCAGGAGCGTCTCCCGACGGCGCTCCTTCTGCCAGGGTCCTTCTGATTTCATTCCCTTTTATTGAACTCAGGATCCGGCGTATTGCGGTGCGCTCCCCCTGTGCGTATGGGCGTATGTGCGTGCGCGTGTGCTTCTGCTGGAGATGTGTGTGCGTCTTTGGGAGGTACGTCTGTTAGGGTGTACCTGAAATATGTTATGTTTTTGTGTCGTTGTTGTTTGTGTTGGTTGTGGTTGTGTGTGTGTGGTTGTGTGTGTTGGTTTGTGTAGTGTGTTGTGTTTGTGCGTGTGTGTGGTGTGTGTGTGTGTTGTGTGTGTGTGTGTGTGTGTGTGTGTGTGTGTGTGTGGTGTGTGTGTGTGTGTGTGTGTGTGTGTGTGTGTGTGTGTTGTGTGTTGTTGTGTGTGTGTGTGTGTGTGTGTGTGTGTGTGTGTGTGTGTGTGTGTGTGGTTTGTGTGTGCGTACGTGTGTGTGTCGTTTGATTTATGTGTACTTGGTACAGTGTTTTATCTGCACTTAAAGGATTGTTACGTGTACAAGGGTGTGTGTGTGTCTTTAATGCTTATGCAAGTATGTCTTTGGGAAGAGTGTGCGTCCGTGTGTATTTAGATTTGTGTTTGTATGTGGGACAAGGGGATATATACACGTGTCTTTTTTTTTCTTCTTTTTTTTCTTATAACATGCGATATATGAAAGACGTGTATGCGTGTTTTATAATTACACGTTGTATATGTATGTACCGTGTGTAGGCATTTAAGACCTGACCTTTAAGAAGAATTTAGCTATGTCTTTTGTAACGTATATCTTCCTCGATGTAAGTATACAAGACTGTCGATAGATTGAATGGTTACCCTCAGTAAATATACTTACATATATTCTAAGGGAAAAAAACTGTTCATATATATTGACTGTTGACATAAACAAGACAGGGCCTACGCACCGTCCCCTCTTCTTGCAGATTAGCTCGTAAATTCAATTTGCGTCGACGATTTCCCAAGGTGTTGTAACCTCCCCCCTCCCCACAACCCTATCTCCACGCTCGGGTACCCCCCCCCCCGCTCCCCCACACCCTCCCTCACTCGGTAACCCCCCCCTCCCACACAACTCTCTCACCTGGGTAATCCCCCCCTCCTTCCTCACAACTCCATCAACATTCATTCCTTAGGTCCTTCTCTGCAACCTCTCTCCCTCAACCATTATAATCTTCTTCAAAATCCTTCCCCGGCAACCTCATCCACTCCTTCCACCCCCCCCATGAACCCTTTTTTCCTCTTCCTCCAACTTCAAACCCTTCCCCCCCTAGCACAGCGATCCCCTTCCCTAACCCCTTCAAACATCCTTCCCCAACCTCACCAACATTCCCCAACCCCTCAACCTCATCCCCCAGCCCAGGACCCCCTTCCTAACTCCTCCAACCTCTCACCCAAACCCCTTCCATCTCCTTCCCTCCCACAAGCCTAACACCCCCTCCTACCACCCCAACTTCCACTTCCACCCTCTCCAACCCCCCAGTACCCCCTCCCCAACCCTTTAGCCTCCTTCTCTCCCGTGATTGTGTTCGTAATCAAACCACGGCGAAGGAGGACAAGGAGGAAGATCAGCAATGCTAAACGAATTAAGGAAGTAAAGGGAGAGGAAGAGAAGGAAGAGGAGAGAGAGGCGAGAAGAGAGAGAGAGGAAGGAAGAGAGGAGAGAGAGAGGGAGAGGCGAAGGAGGAGAGGAGAGAGAGAGAGAGAGAGAGAGAGAAAGAGAGAGAGAGAAGAGAGAAGAGAGAGAGAGAGAGAGAGAGAGAGAGAGAGAGAGAGAGAGAGAGAGAGAGAGAATATATAGATATAGTAAACACATGGGGAGAAAGATAAATAAAAGAGACAGAGAAAAGATACATGTAGACAGATAAACAGATAGGTAGAATGGTATAAAGATAGATAGACAGAGAGAGAGAGAGAGAGAGAGAGATAGAGGGAGAGAGAAGAGAGAGAGAGAGAGAGAGAGAGAGAGAGAGAGAGAGAGAAGAGAGAGAGAGAGAGAGAGAGAAGAGAGAGAGAGAGAGCATTGATGAGTTGTTTGAATATATGAAAAAACGGAAATCAAATGGAAAAGGAATATCAAGAGGAAAATTAAAGAGAGAGATAGAAAGGAAAACAAATATATAAGAAAACCCAAAACAACAAGAAAATAGAAGAAACACAAAACAAATAACCAAATAACCCAAAAAGAAAAGAAAAGAAGAGGGAAGGGAAAAAAGGAGAAGGGAGGAAAGAGAGAAGTGAGAAGAAAGGAGGGGAGGGGAGGGAGAGGAGGGAGGGAGGGGAAGGAGGAGAGGAGAGGAGGGGAGAAGGAGAAGGGGAAGGAGGAGAGGGGAGCGGAGGGTAGGGAGGGAGAGAGGGTAAGCGAGTGAGAGGAGGAGGAGGGAGAGAGGAAGGGAGAGAGGAGGGGAGGGAGGGAGAGGGAGGAGAGGAGAGAGGAGGGGAAGGCACAACCGACATGACATCTAACCACCTAAATCCTCCTTGAAGAATTATTTGAATCTCGCTTCGCTGAAGGCTTTTGACAGGTTGGATGGATGGGAGTAAGGAGGGGAGGAGGTGGAAGGGAAGGGAGAGGAAGGGGGAGAAGGAGGTAGGAGAAGCGTAGGTGGAGATAGAGGAGGTAGAAGAGGTGAAAGAAAAGGGAAGGAAGGGAAGAGACGAAGGAAAGGTGGGAGAGCGTAGGTGGAGATAGAGGGACGTATGAAGAGGGAAGAAAAGGGAGGAAGGGAAAGAGACGAGGGAAAGGTGGGGAGCGAAGTTGAAGGCGAAAGGAGGAGAGGGAAAAGGAAGGGAAGAGGGAGAGGAAGAGAAGAGGGAGCGAAGTGAAGGGGTGATGGGGAGAAGAAAATTTGGAAGGAAGGAAAGGAGGGGAAAGAAGAGGAAAGGAGAAGTAAAAAAAAAAGGAAGAAGATGGAGAAGAAAGGAAGTTGTGAAGAAAAGGGAGGAGAGGAGAGAGAGGAAGGGACGAATCTATCAAACGAAAGTAGAGGAGAGAGAAAGGGAGAGAGGCAGCAAAGAGAATGAAAGTAGCGATGGTTAGTTCAGAGGAGATAGGTGAGAGAAGAAAGATAGAAGTAAGGTATGGAAAGAAAAGACAGAAATGGGAAAAAGAGGAGAAGGGCGAAGTGGAAGAAAATAGGAAGAGAGGGGAGAATGGAGAGGGAACGGCCGTTTAACTGTTTGTTGTTTAGTGTTAATTATGGAACAGTACACAGCACAGTATGCATATGTAATGAGAAGAGAGAAGGGAGAGGAGTTACATGTGTATGTATATTTATATATATATATATATATATATAGATATGTATATATATAATATATATAATATAGATATATATATATATATATATATATATATATATATATATATATAGATAGATAGATATATATATATATATATATATATATATATATATATATATTATATTATATATATATATATATATATATATATAATATTATATATATATATATATATATATATATATATATATATATATATATATATATATATATATATATATATATATATAATAGTAATATATATGAATAGTGATAATAAGAAAAAGAATCACAATAATGATAATATCAGTATGATATAACATTAACAACAATGAATTTGATATACTAGAGAGAGAGAAGAGAGAGAGAGAGAGAGAGAGAGAGAGAGAGAGAGAGAGAGAGAGAGAGAGAGAGAGAGAGAGAGAGAGAGAGAGAGAGAGAGAGAGAGAGAGAGAGAGAGAGAGAGAGAGAGAGAGAGAGAGAGAGAGAGAGAGAAGAGAGAGAAAGAGAGAGAGAGAGAGAGAGAGAGAGAGAGAGAGAGAAAACGAAAGAGAGAGAGAAAAAAGAGAAAACCGAACACTCAAACACAGCATATTTGCTCTTTTGCATTAGGCTCCGGTTCTGTTTCAGCGCGTGTGCCTTTCAAACCACGGAGGCGCATGCGATGGTCGATCCAGATGAGGAAACGAAACTCGAAACCATAAATCTTGATCTTAGTGGCACTTGAGGCTCCATAGAAGGAATTCTGAAAAGGTCAATGAACGCTATTGAGGAGATTCTTTCTTGCTTAAGGGAAGGTAAAAAAAAAATATATATTCTCATCAATGTATAGGTAAGGGACATAAAACTGAATGGCGAGTATAGAAAGGTTGTGATAGAGGTCGATTGATGGATATATATAGATGGGTGGATAAGGAGGTAAGTAGATATGATGGTCAGAAAGATAGATAGATAAGAGAGGAGAGAGAGAGAGAGAGAGAGAGAGAGAGAGAGAGAGAGAGAGAGAGAGAAAGAAGAGAGAGAGAGAGAGAGAGAGAGAGAGAGAGAGAGAGAGAGAGAGAGAGAGAGAGAGAGAGAGAGAGAGAGAGAGAGAGAGATTAATTAATAATAAAGCCAAAGCTAGAGGTTAAAGAATCTGTTAGTTAGATATCATATAAATAGACTTATCTACTTTATCGTTTGTTCAATGTTCTGTTTACTTTTGAATGTTTCTCTCTCTTCTCTACTCACTCTCTTCTCTTCTCTTTCTCCTATCTCCCCTTTCCATCCTCCTTCTTTCTATCTCCCTTCTCCCTTACCCACTCTTCCTTCCTCACTTTTATTTCTCCTTCCCTCAAACATTCTCTCTTTTCTAATCTTAGACTCCTTTACTACTCTGATTGCTTTCCTCCTCTTACCTTTTCTTTCCTTCTCTTCTCTTTACTCCTCCCCCTCCCTCACCTCGATTCTCCCTTACCCTCTCATCTTCCCTTCTCCTTACCTTCCACCTTTCTTCATCTTCCTTCTACCATACACTCTCCCTCTTCCTTCTCTTTTTCTCTTCTTCTTCCTTTACCTTTCTTTCATTCTTCCTATCTACCATACACTCTCCCTTCCTCCTTCTCTTCTTCCTTCTTCCGTCCTTCACATTTCTTCTTCTCATCCCACTTACTCACTCCATCCTATAACTCTATTTTCCCTCTCTCTCTCTCCCCTCAATTTCCTTGCTAGTTCCTTCCCTCACTATGTGTTCCCCTCAA